TCCAGCCCTTGTGCTCGGGGTACCTGCCGTGTGCAGTGATGTCTATAAGAAAAGCCTTCAGTGACCCATAGACCTCGGTTTGCTGAGACATTATTCAATAGAACTCTGAATTACTACTGAATCACTAATGTTTCCTTCTCCTCTTTTGTGTACCAGCTAAAGCCAAGGGGCTAGAGTTACAGGTCTCCAAGGTGAAGTTTGAAGATGTTGGAGGCAATGATACGACGTTAAAGGTTAGTTTGAGTGCAGAATTTACTCAGATGAGCTTATTGCCGCTTTGTTTCTGGTAGGAACTGGGGGTGGAAAGGAGCCTGGGTGAGGGGAGAAGGGCAACCCTGGCTTGTACCTTCAGGGTGCTGAGGGGTAAAGGAAGAGTAGCACCTTCCACTTTTCCACCACGGGGATCATGGTGTGCGGAAGATGCGTGCTTTGTGGGTGATACTGCTTTAGCAGAAGTGAGTGACGGTTACTGTTTACTGAACGTCTGCTCTGTTCCAGTTAACCACGAGTCGCGTCTGCGAGGCTGTGAGGTAGATGTTATGACAGCTGGGAGAAGGGGTGCGGAGAGGTTCCTGCTGGAGTCCGTTAGGCACCAGAGCTGGGCTTCAGACCGGGCTTCAAACTTGCCAAAAGAATAGACTTTCCTTCCATGCGGATTCTTTCTCCTCTTGGGCCGAGAAAGACTTCTTTCCTGTCCGTTCCCTCCAGGAGGTGTGCAAGATGCTCATCCACATGCGTCACCCCGAGGTGTACCAGCACCTGGGCGCCACCCCGCCGCGCGGAGTCCTCCTTCACGGGCCGCCAGGCTGCGGGAAGACGTTGCTCGCACACGCCGTTGCTGGGGTGAGGTTTGCCTGCGTGCCTTTGCTTCGGTTGCTTTTGTTCCATGTGTCCTTGTTCCTCTTCGGTCAGCTTGAACCAGACGTGGCATATTCTCCGGAGGACCGGCCCCTCTGCATTTCTACCCATCCTGCTGCTGTTCGTGAGATGCTGTTGCTTCAGAGCAGTCAGTTATTTAGACGGCAGGGGCTGGGTGAGAAGCAAGGTGATGGGGCCTAAACACCCTTCTTGCAGCACGCAGTTTGTTTCAGTTACTTCTCTTTCCCTTTAAGCCAATGGTTCTCAGAAGCAGTAAATGAGAAAACTAAGGATTGTATTGTTTTTCCCAGAACTAAATTTACTCAAAATTTCTATTCGAGTCATATTCTTATACTTTTTTTTTTTAGATTTTTTTTCTTAATTTTTAAATAATCTCTACACCCAGCGTGGGGCTCAAACTCATGACCCCGAGATCAGGAGTCACATACTCACTGATTGAGTCAGCCAGGCGCCCCATGTTCTTGTACTTTTTAGTGTGAAAATAGCCTTTCTAAAATGGTGATCATACTTAGGTGGCAAAATGAAAAGGTAGCCATCTTATTTTTGTCCTATCAGATTTTTCAGAAACTGTGTTGGGTGGTAAAATGCACAACGTCTGAGTGACTACAGTTTGAAGAATAGTGTTTTATACCAGTGACGAATAGGTTAGTGCTCTGTGCCGGGAGCTCGTTCTTACAGGAGAACTAATGGATTTGCCTCATTGGTTCCTTTGTTGAGTAAACGGTCATGTGACCGCCGCATGGCAGACGTTGAAACAGGGATGAGTGCAGCAAACCCAGTCTCGTAGGAGAGGCCGCATGAGGCAGCCATCACCCAAGCAAACGACCGCAGTCACGGCAGTCACGAGTGGGGGACTCGGGGTGCAGCACGCGGGCGGTGTCTCTGTGGGACTCCCGTGGCTGACACGGTGATTTTTAGAACCGTTAGGAGTAGAACGAGCAGGCTGGATGCTGTGTGTGCTACGGGTGGGGCACGGGGCGGGGGGCGGCAGCGGCACTTGCCCCTCCTTCACTTCGGGAACCTATCTTCTGAAGGATACCAGGCTCCTTCCCTGGGGGCCCGGTGACACGTGCCAGTCGGGCCAGTGGGACACAACTGTGTCACGACCCCTCCGATCCTTTCCAGCAGAGAAATAACTGGAATTGTTTTGGCTCAGTCTAAGCAGGGGGAGCCTATCTCTGGAGAGTCAAGACCCTTTACTCCGAAGAGTTGACAAACGGGGTTGCACAGTGCCTTCAGTAAAGTAAAAACAAGTGGCCGGGGCGCCTGGGAGGCTCAGTCGGTGACGTGTCTGTCTTCGGCTCATGTCATGATCTCAGGGTCCTGGGATCAAGACCTAAAACCGTAGATCTTTAAATAATGTTTCTCATCAGACCAACACAAAAAGATGAAGTTTCTCAGAAAATTGGGCATTTAAAGAATGAAATTTTGAGGGGTGCCCCAGGTGGTCATTTGAGTGTCTGCCTTCGGCTCAGGTCATGATCCCAGGCTCCTGTGATTGAGCCCCTCATCGGGCTCCCTGCTCAGTCTGCTTCTCCCTCTCCCTCTGCCTTCCACTACCTCTGTTTGTGTGCTCTCTCTGTCAAATAAATAAAATCTTAAAAAAATATATTTAAAAAACATAAAATTTTGAGAGAGGGACTGAATGAGGAACAGGTAGGGAAGATAAATTCTGACAATGTGGTGATTCTTTCACGTATTTCTATCCAGGAACTGGACCTCCCGATTCTGAAGGTAGCTGCCACGGAGATTGTGTCCGGAGTATCTGGGGAGTCTGAGCAGAAGCTGAGGGAGCTGTTTGAGCAGGCTGTGGTGAGTCCGACCCACATCGGGTCGTTGGGTCACCTGTGGTTATGACAGAGAACTCGCGATGGCTAAATACTTAAAGTAGATGCACGGTACAGACTGTTGGCCAAACTAATCTGTTGAATCTGCTGTCAGGCAGAACTGTAATTGGCAAGGAGTTCTGGGTTGTCATAGCCACTGGGTATATGTTGAAAATAGATTATCCTGGTGGTATTTCCTTTCACTTTTACTTCCCCCAAATTAAGTTTAGCAAATAGCTTGTAAGTTGTGTGAAAATTGTTCATCTTTAGGATTATCACATTATAAAAGTAGCCATAGAAATGCCAGGATAAACTCTTCTCTGTTTGCCTAATTGAACCAGTGAAAAGAAAATCCTGTTAACAGAGAAATTACAGATCGGATTTTATCCTAACTGTAAATCCTGCTGTTAAAACACGAGTGACAGCAGATGCTCAGTAAACACAGGGTCTGCCCCTCTCTACCAGTCTCTATTACCTGATGGAACAGAGCACGCTTGGGTGTGTGGGTCAGAGAACAAAAACGGTCCAAGCGGATCACGTGGTTCTTTGTTGAGAACTGTAGGCTTTCCTCTGGCTGAATTCTGATGACCATCACTTACTTTCTTACTCTTTTTCTCACTGAGTTTTTCCGGTCCTGGGCAGATACTGTTGTCCTCGCCCCCGAGACCTTTGCTGTCTGTGACCTGACTCCGTACCTGGGTGCTGTCTGTAGCAGTCCTCGCTGCTCCCGTGCCCGAGTCGTCACCGGGAGGATTGGGAAGCGAGCCGGCTAGTGATGGGCCAGATCTTCCCTATAAATTGCCGTGGTCCCCGTGGTGTTGAGACACCTTAGCCGGGCTGAGAGTCTGACCCTTAGCTTGATCAGTGTCACTGAAGAACTAGGAATGAGCGTGCTGGTGATTGCATCTCTCGATATTTTTATTTAAATTTTTCATGTTAACTGATCTTCCTCTCTTTTTGTTTGTTTTTATTGTGGTAAAATATGTTAAACTTGCCATTTTAAACATTTTTAAGAGTACAGTTCTGTGATTGTAGTAAGACACTCACGCGTTGTGTGACTGTCACCCCCAGCATCTCCCCAGCCTGAACGCATGCTCTCGGGCCACCGACCCGTGCCTTCCCTCCCCAGCCCCTGGCCGCCGTGGCTCTGCTCCCGGCAGTTGGTGCTTCTGTCTGAACCTCCTGTCTCCACTCTGTCCAGTCTGCGCCTTGAAGAACACGCACGGGGAGGGTGCTCGTCGTCCACACGGCGTACCGGGGACTCCCCTCCCTCCCTTCCTCAGCGCGGTCCTCACGGCCGCTGCTGGTTCTCTGGCTCAGCGTGTGCTCACTCACTGGTCATACCTCGTAGCATCGAGGATATGCCTCGTTGATGAAAGAATTTCAGTGACTTGCTCACCACAAAGCACGGGTGGATGAGAGGGTTGGAAGCGTGGTAGCCTGTGTGCAGTCTCTCCCTGCCCTCTGTGCAGCATCTTAAGTCCGATGAAAGCAGAAGTGATAACGCCAGGAACTGCCTTCTTGAGTGCTGCTCGTTTGCTGAACGACCGGCGGACTCCAGGATTCTTTAAAACATAAAGACTGAACTATGCTGCAGTGTGGGGAATGTCTTTATGATTGTCTTCTGTGATACTTTTATTTCCAGTCAAACGCACCCTGTGTCCTTTTTATTGATGAAATTGATGCTATTACCCCCAAGAGAGAAGTTGCTTCAAAAGACATGGAACGAAGAATTGTAGCCCAGCTCCTCACCTGCATGGATGGTCAGTTTAAAATAATTCATTTTCAGATAATAAATTGTGGGTTTTTTAATAGTGTAAGTAACGTGAGGATATGAGACATTCGGGTAGAATAACACTGAGAGTAAAAAATCCTTTTCCTAAAAGATTGTCTTGTTAATTTTTTGGAGTACATCTTATGGTTATTTTAATGCGTTTATACATACACACAAGCACTAACATTGTTTTGCTTCTTACAATGCTGTGATTGCACCATTCACATTGTTCTGTGACTTGCTTTGTGTATCTTAATGCTCCTTGGAAATGTGGCTGTTTTAATGCATTTAAATTTACCTTTTAACTGCTGTCTGGTATTCTTTTTTTTTTTTTTAACTAAGGTATAATGTATTATTTGTTTCAGAGGTACAGGTCTGTGATTCATCCGTCTTGCACAATTCACAGCGCTCACCATAAGCACATACCCTCCCCAATGTCCATCACCCAGCCACCCCATGCCTCCCACCCCCGCTCCACTCCAGCAACCCTCAGTTTGTTTCCTGAAATTAAGAGTCTCTTATGGTTTGTCTCCCTCTCTGGTTTCGTCTTGCTTCATTTTTTCCTCCCTTCCCCTATGATCCTTTGTCTTGTTTCTCAAATTCCTCATGTGCTACGTGGTATTCTTTAGGACAGGTTTATTATATTGAACATAAGCATTCCCATTTTGATAAATGTTTAAGTTGTTTTGTTTTTTGCTTTACAAGAAGCTGTAGGGAATCTCCTAAGTGGGCCTGTTTGGTGCATACATATTTTTCTAGGATAAATACTAAAAATTAAGGTGATGGTTAAGGGTTATACACTTTAAATTTTGTGGGAAATGGCAAACTGACTTCAGAAGGGTTTGCAGTGTGCATTTCCCCATCCTCTGAGACGCCCTGTGTCCAGGTCCCTCCATGACCCCGACTGTCACCATATTCTCATGGTTGATAGGTTGGTGGTGATGATGGAGATCTCACCTTGTTGTTCTTTGCATTTCCCTGTTTTCACTGGAGGTTGATCGTCTTTCCATATTTCTTGACTATGTGTATCACTCCAAATCCCTTTCTCAGCCTGTGCTGTGTTACTGAATTTTTTAAAATTGGTTTGAAGGAATATTTTAGTTTGTTATGGAAGCAGATTCCTTGTTAAATGTATCGCGTTTATTTCCTCCCAGTCTGTAACTTATTTTTCAGTTTTGTTCATTCGTTTTTAGATAGAAATTTGGAGGGAAGGTAGATACACTTTTGGAACTAAATCCTGCCTCTGGTGAAATACTGTGGGGTTTCCGTACACAAGATAATTTGAAGTAGGACAGGTTTTGGGCTCCTTGTGGTGCTGGTTGCAGGTTGCTTATTCTGCTCCTTTATTTTCCCGTAGTAAAGTTTTCTTGCCATGCTTTGAGGCCTCTGTTCTGAATTACCATATCAAAGCTACAGTGTTACCCGTTATAAGATACGTGGTTCTCTAAGAAGGAGAGAGACACCAGCAGTCATACTGAGACACGATGCCTATCCCATGATGGTAGAAGCATTCTGATTTCAGAGATTTTACAATGTGGAAGAAAGGAACAAGCACAGGGACTAGGCAGATGACCCATTACTAGAGCTTTACTAAAAGTTGGGGTTAGTTGGGGTTTCCAGTGTGTGTGTGTGTGTGTTAGGGTCCCCTCTGCGAACAGAACAGAGAAAACATTCCAACAGTTCAGAGGACACAGTCATGCCCCAAGTAGTCTGTCCCAGGTGGTGGTTTTTCCCCTCCAGTTTGAGAATTTTTTAAAAATATTAATTCAGAGTTTAACAAATTTGAATTTTAATAATTTGAAACTTTTAAGTAAATTATTTTAAACAAGGTAACAAGGAGACCACTGAAGAGAACTAATTTTACCTAATTTCAGAAACTTAAACTTGGGCATAACTCTAATTATTAAGAGCTGGAAAGCATCTTAAAATATTATCTTGTCCGTGAGGAAAGCGATGCACAGTGAGCCAGGACCTGTATTCAGTGGATCATTGGCAAAGCCTGGGCTAGGCTCCAGATGTCTACACACACGTATATGGCTGATGGGCTGTCTGCAAATGCGTGCTTTGTTTAGGAGACCTGGTGTCCCACAAACAGGTTTTGTTCTGTGTAGAAAGACGACTTTGCTTCTTCCATAATATTCCAAAATTCAAACTTGTGGCTAATGTAATGTCAGTTTAACATGATCATATCATATTGGGGAAGAGGGAGAAGAAGAATGGGATTTATCTTGAAGTCACTGGCAGGAGATGCCAGCCAGTCCTAGGTGAGGTCTGATTTTTTTATCTTTCATGCGTCAGGAAAAAATAGCATTTGACATAAGCGCTTCCATTGCTGACTGTTGATTTCCTGTGGAAGGGTATTTTTCATGCCTGAAGATTTCACAGTTTTCCATGACTGTTCTCATTGAATTCTGTTACTGACCCCCGATAAGCTCAGAGTTCACCGAGACCACAGTGTCTGAGTGACCCGACCTGGAAGAAGGAAGCGCCCCTGGTCGCGGCTGTAGCTGTGGGTATTGGAGCCACGTGAGCCCGCCGGGGAGCAGCTCTGGCCCCGTCCCTGCCCTGGTGCAGGGCGCTCGGCGTAGCCAGAACGGCCTCACGGGAAGCACGTGTGCGGCTCATGATTACAAGGTGCCACCTCTTTTCCTTAGAATGTTCGAGTTCAGTGGCCTCTCCTATCATGAATCTCTTCCTTGAGCTTTTATGCAGTTTTCAGAAAGTATTTAAGAGCCCTCTTGTCTCACTCAAGCCAAAATTTATCAAAGGAGTAGTCACTGTCAGCTAAGTGCAGGCTTGTGTTTCCGGTCTACACCACACCCTGTCCCTACTCGTCTGTCCCCGACATTTTACTGAGGCTAATCCTGTGACAGTCGTGGGGGAACCTCTCGTGGCCGCATCTGGTGGCTTTCAGCGCTCATCTGTCCGAACCTCTGTTCTTTAGTTTCCTCGTCTCTAAACCTACCTGTTAGAGGGGTGGCGGGGGTTGGCCAAGGGGCCAACTGCACCCTAGCGCCTGGCACGCAGCGAGCCACCAGTGAGCGTCAGCACAGTGGTTCTCGAGAGCCTTCATGCCCATCGACCACCTCGTCCTGGGCGTTGTTGGCACGCGTGGCTTGAGTGCCAGTGCCCTCTTTGTGTCCTTGCTCTGGCTCTGCGGCAGCTCCTAGCTGTTCTCCTGTCCCTTAGACAGAGGCGGCCTGTAGGGCTTCCCACTTGCCCTTCTCGTCTTGCCTTCTGCCTGATGAGCAGCTCTTTAGGAAACAAGAATGCATCCGTAACCTTGATTTCTGATCAGTGTCACACTCCTCTTCCCGGCTGCCTGCCGGGTACCCCACGCTCTGTGTGCCCGGGCCAGACCCATTTCCCCTTTCTGTCCCTCTGCCCTCCTGTTTGCGTGCTCTCCACAGCATCACCTCCCTGCTTGTCCAGACCTGAGTGCTCTTGGTCTCTCCCCTCCCCTTGCCCTTCACATCTTCCTCGGGGAATGATTTAGTGCCCTGGGCTGCATCTGAAGCCTCGCCCTGCAGCTGGGCCTCTCCTGCTTCTTCCCCGCGTTCCTGCCTTATTGTGTCCTTTGTCCCCTGATGGCTGCTATCAAATCACACTGAGCTCTGCTCCCCTCTGTTCCTCTCTACTTTTAGAATTGTCTTTCCAACACACACATCTTCTGAGAAAAACCTTTCCTGGCCTCCTGTGGGCTAAGGAATATTCTACAGATTCCTCATGACCCAGCCATTAAGGTACTGAATTAGCATCCTCCTATCTTGTTACTGTTACCTGTGGGGAGTGTGACCTCAGACCTCAGGTCAGACCTCTGCTGCCCGCTCCCCCCCCCCCCCAGCTCAGTGGAAAGAACTAAGACTGGAAGGGGACCTGCTGGGCCATGCATTCTGCCATTCCTAAAACTGTCTCTAGATGACGCCAGAGCAATGGAAGACTATAGGTGCACACCTCCCCCACCCCCGCCATGTCCATGCCCCTTGGCTCTTTGGAGACCTGCACTGCCGTTCTCTCCCAGACTCCCCGCTGCTGGGCGGCCCCCCTCTCTGAGCCCACCACACACGTGTGTGCCTCTGCTGTCCCTCCCAGCCTCTGTTCATGCACAGCTTCATTAATGTGGACCTGCTTATGAATATCCTACTCCTCCTTCAAGGCTTTCCCTGAATGTGCCCGTGAATCCGTGCTCTCTTCTGTTGTCTCACTATGACGCTCTATTTATACCCATCGCCATGCGTCACAAGATTTGTTCGGTGGGTTTTTCAATAGACTGCAAGCTGCTTGAGGACAAAGTGTGTATTTATTCTCCTCGCGTCTTTCACGTAATGGATAATTAGTAAATGTTAGCTTTCTATGTGTATTGACGTCCAAACATGTATTACTTTCTAACCACTCGCAAGACTTACATAAGCACCGTTGTCTGCCATCCTGGTGTCTTGGTCACTGCTCACCCTGTATCTGCTTCTTACCAGATCTGAATACCATGGCCACGACGGCCCGGGTCCTCGTCATTGGAGCCACTAACCGACCAGACGCCTTAGACCCTGCTTTGAGACGTGCAGGAAGGTTCGACCGAGAGATATGCCTCGGGATCCCAGACGAAGCCTCCAGGGAAAGGTACGCTCTTGAAAGATGAAGTTTGTGCGTTGCTGTGTCATCTGAACTGAATGCTTTGGAAACGAGGGCTGAGAAGTACCACATAGTTTCTTTCTTTGTTCTCATGCCAGTAACGTTGGTTTGGAACCCACGGCTGGTGTCACTCAGTCGGCTGATCAGCTGAGGGATAGCGTGGGGAGCCGTGGAGCCGAGCCGTGCTCACTGGCCCACATGGAGGTTACATCGAACTTTCACCTGTTGCGTTAACC